AAATGCTATCTATTATTATTATTATTATTATCTTATCTTATCTTATCTTAAGTGTACCCATCTTAGTTTAGTTTCAGTAAAAGTTTTTCGGCACTTGCAACACAATAAGGTCATATAAGTGCCGAAGATTAGAGGTGTTACAAGAGAGTAACATACACAAAACAGAAGGAGGAGAGATAAGGACGATAGATGTTTGGTAGGAAAGAAGGAGCAAACCACACCAGAGCACCCGCCAACCACCCACGTTCCCATCTTAGTGGACCAAACGTTTGTTTAGAAGAGAGAAGGTTTATTTTATATCTGAGTTTATTTTTCATTTTATTGGATTTTGGTTGTTATTGGTGTTGTTAAAGAGATGATGATGATGATGATGATGATGATGATGATGATGATGATGATGATGATGATGATGATGATGATGATGATGATGATGATGATGGTCTTCATGCTCAACTTGAACTGTTTTCTATCCATTCCCAGCCAAACCATCAATTCCTCGACGAGCGTTCAACTGGATCTGTGGAATCGATGACGCCAACAAAAACCAGCTTTCAGAACATCAAATCGAGGTCCAGGACATGCTCTCGATAGAAGAAAACCCGTGTCTGCAAAAACTGACGGCATTTTTGGCAGCCCTACTGGCTGTGTGTGCGGCATTTGTTATTGGTTTCTTTGCTTAACAAGAATTTAATTCAGAATTGCAGTAACTAAGGGTGGTTTCAACAAAATGAGCTCAATCCTGAAAAAGAGAAACCTCCCAGACACTACCAAAATGACAGTACGGAACTAATGTGTATGGTTAATCCTTCTATACAGCTATGAATGCTGATCAATCACTAAAGACAGTGAAAATAAAATAGAATGTGGTTTCCCAGGAGACTGCTGAGAATTTCTTGGAGGTAGTACTTGAAGACGCCGACATGGGCCGCTCGCTGATGAAAACAGTCAGGAAGCGCAGGGACAAAAGTTCTCACTGGCAAAATTGAAGGCAAACAAAGTAAGGGTAGACCTAGAGCATCTACCTGAAGAGCCTGAAAAAATGAGTAGTGGGGAAATATTAAAATTATTTAGCTTTTTGAGAGCACCTCATCAAAGCAATGAATGCAGATCCATGATGATCGACATCTGTGGCAGATCGGACTCTTGATGATGATGGTATTGAAGATCTGAAGTTCTATAAACAACTGCTAAAACTTTTAACTTCATTTTCAAATCTATTGAAGCATAACATCTGAAATTTGATTCTTGATTTTGAAGAGATGTTTTTTAGATACCGGGACAGGAAAAAGATCTCAGGATTTCAAAAGTTAATGGGATTAACAATGAGTTATTATCAATTATTATTA